TCCTCCTCCTCCTCCTCCTCCTCGTCCTCGTCCACTGTTCTTCCTTCTCCGCACTGGTCCATTTCCTCTTCACCCCCCCCTTGTCCTCCTCCTCATCCTCCTCCTCCTCCTCCTCCTCCTCCTCCTCCTCCTCCTCCTCCTCCTCTCTCCTCCTCCTGTTCATCATCATCATCATCATCATCATCATCATCATCATCATCATCATCATCATCATCATCATCAGCATCAGCATCAGCATCAGCATCAGCATCATCATCATCATCATCATCACCACCACCATCATCATCATCATCACCAGCATCAGCATCAGCATCAGCAGCACCATCATCATCATCATCATCAACATCATCATCAGCATCATCAGCTGCATTAGCATCAGCATCATCAGCAGCATCATCACCAGCATCATCATCACCATCGGCATCACCATCATCATCATCATCAGCAGCATCATCATCATAATCTTCATCAAAATCATCATCATCATCATCATCGTCATCATCATCACCATCATCATCATCATCATCATCATCATCATCATCATCATCATCATCATCATCATCAGCATTATCATCATCACCACCACCATCATCATCACCATCGTCATCAACATCATCATCATCCCCCACCTCTCCCTCTCCCTCTCCCTCTCCCTCCTCCTCCTCCTCCTCCTCCTCCACCCTCGTCGCCTCGTCATCCTCCTCCTCCTCGACCTTCTCCTCCTCCTCATCCACGTCCTCCACCTCCTCTTCCTCCCCTTCGTCATCTTGGCTCCGCCTCCTCGTCCCCCATAATCCTTCTCCTCCTCTTCCTCCTCCTCCTCCTCCTCAGTTTCCTCCTCCTCCTCCTCCTCCTCCTCCTCCTCTTCCTCCTCCTCCCCCTCATCCACGTCCTCCTCCTCCTCCTCCTCCTCCTCCTCCTCCTCCTCCTCCTCCTCCTCCTCCTCCTCCTCCCCCTCTGGAAGCGACGGTGCGCCCGTCTCCCATCAGCACGGTGAAGACGCCCAAGGGCGCCAGCAGCGGCACCTGGCGCAGAACGCGGACCGCCCTCCTTCCCCCGACAAGCAGGGGGGGGGAGGGAACATGCCGCCGCACCAGAGACGGGCCGCTCCGAGGGCTACGAGCTGGGGTCAGCCTCGCCGTCGGGCCACCGTCAGAAATTCGAGCCAGCGGCTGCGGCCTGCTTGAGCCCGCTTGGAGGACGAGGAGAAGGAGGAAGAGGAAGACCAATGTATACTCAAGACTCATCAACGATGTTTGGATACACCCTCCCTCCAAACTTGCCCCATACACGGATTCCCTTGCACTGAGGGATACGCTCCGTTGGGAGTCAACCGTGAGAAAATCCTGAAGCGTGCCAAAACACCACTCGCAGGACTTCAACGTCACGAATTCAGCTGACTGTTGCGTCCTGACGACTCTCAATCGTGTCAGAAGACCATTCCTGGGACTTCAGCACCGCGAATCAACGTAACTGCTGCGCCCTGACAACCCTGAATCGTTCGAAAACACCCTTTCTGATAGGTTAACCATGAGAATGACCGAAACTCTTGCATGTGATTAAACACATATGCGCGGCGCTACAACGAACCACATTTTGAAAACGAACCGCCATCAACCCGTAGAGCTATTGCAGTGTTCTAGGCCAGCGTGCGCTGAGCGAAGGTGAGCGACACAAATTTTGCCAAGGTTCGAAGCGGCTGCGGTCATCGACGACGATGGTGACGATGACACTGCTGCCGAAGGCGATGAGGCCTCCGTCCTGGGAAGGGCGTTGACAGCCTTTGATGGGCGTGTTTTGCACCACCACCACCACCATAGGTTGGATGAGGAGGACGAGGAGGAGGAGGAGGAGGAGGAGGAGGAGGAGGAGGAGGAGGAGGAGGAGGAGGAGGACCCCCTCCCCCTCCAACTTATGGTGGTGGTGGTGGTGGAAAACAGGCCCATCAGTCTTCGCTCGACTCGAGAGCCGCCCGCCCGCCCTGCACTGGGACGGCGCCCAGACGGTCCAGACCGCTACTGTGCAGACTCCCACCCAGTGGGGGGGGGGACATCCTGCCAGCCCCTGCCCTGGCCGCGTGGCCGTCGTAGCTGCCCCGATACGCAACACGCAACACGTGGCGTATTGACACGGAGCTCCACACGTGGACTGGAAGCGTAGGTCCGACGCGATACGTTCGCCAAAACGTGGGCCCATACGTGGAGCCAACACGCAACGTATTGACACGGACGTCTTGAACACGGGACGTGTTGCGTTTCAATGCGGGCGCAGCGAGACAACTAAGGTGGCCGTCAGTCGGCCTGTCGATGAGAGCACGCGCTGCGAGGGGGGGCAGGATTCGTCCGCCGCGCGCGCAATCAACTGGAACAGGCCCGATGCCGGTGCTTCGCCCCCTGGCCGCTGAGGTTTCCGCCTCCCTTGGCTATCCCCGCCCTGCGAAGGACATACGGACAGGCGCAGCCCCCTTTATAACCGAATTGGATGAGAGAGAACTATGCGCATACACCGACTCTGGCCAGGCCCATCCTGAGCCCAGTATCGGTGCATACGCTCCCCTGCCTTGGCCAGGAGATGTATATGCACCGATCTTGGATCAAGGATGGGCCTTGCCAGGATCGGTGCATGTGCATAGATCTCTTCGCCCGACGAATGCCTCTACCACGACCTGCCCTCAATCCGTGAAACCCTTGCACAGGATTAAAACGAATGCGCGCGGCGTCAAGCGCGAGCCACGAGCCACAGATTGAAACGACCCGCCCTCAATCTGCGAAAATTCTTGCACTCTTTAAGAACGAATGAGCGCGGCGCTACGCGCTACGGCGAGAGCCACATGTTGAGAACGACCCATCCTCAAGCCGAGAAACTCCTGAATTGTTCACAAACGAATGTGCGCGGCGCTAATGAGAGCCACAGTTTGGAAGCGGCCCGCCCTCCATCTGTGAAACTCCGGCCAGTTTCGAAGCTTCAGGCTCTAAATGTCGAAAATAATCTCACGTGAGACGCAGGGCCCGCCCTTCCGACCGGCCTCGGGGTGCGACAGGCAGGCGCTATTCACAAGGAAAAGGGACGAAGGAGGAGGAGGAGGAGGACGACGACGACGACGAGAAGCAGGAGGAGCAGCAGGAGGAGAAGGAGGACGAGGAGAGCGCGCCGCCGAAGCGCAGCGTCTGCCCACACCGACGCTGGTCGGCCCAGGTGGGCCGCTGCGACTGGCCCCCTTCGGATGCGCAGATTTTCCACCCCCACTACCACATGTAGGACGGCGAGGGGGGAGGATGAGGTCCGCCTCCTCCTCCTCGTCATCATCATCCTTCTCCTTCCTCCTTTCTCCTTGATCCTTCCTCCCTCCTTCCTCCTTCCTCCTCCTTCTTCCTCCTCCTCCTCTTTCTCCTCCTCCTCCTTTCCTTCCTCCTCTTCCTTCTTCTCCTCCTTCTCTTCCCCCTCCTCCTCCGCCGCCTCCTCCTCCTCCTCCTCCTCCTCCTCCCCCTCCTCCTCTAAGTAGTCCTCCCCTCCTCCCCCCTCCTCCTCCTCCTCCTCCTCCTACTCCCTCCTCCTCCTCCTCCTCCTCCTCCGCCTCCTCCTCCTCCTCCTCCTCCGCCTCCCCCTCCTCCTCCTCCTCCTTCTCCTCCGCCTCCTCCTCCTCCTCCTCCTCCTCCTCCTTCCCCTCCTCCTCCTCCTCTCTTCTCCTCCTCCCCTCCTCCTCCTCCTCCTCCTCCTCCTCCTCCTCCTCCCACTCCTCCTCTTCATCCTCCCTCCTTGTCTTCCTCTTCTTCCTCATCCTTGTCTTCCTCTTCCTCCTCCGTCTCCGCCTCCGCCGCCCTCTCCTTATCCTCCTCTGCCAATCCCTCCTCTGCCTCCTCCTCCTCCTACTCCTCCTCCTCCTCCTCCTCCTCCATCTCCTCCTCTTTCTCCTTTCTCCTTCCTCCTTCCTCCTGTCTCATTCCTCCTTCCTAGTTGGTCCTTCCTCCTTCCTCCTTGGTCCTTCCTCCTTCCTCCTTTCACATCCCTCCTTCCTCATTCCTCCCTCCTCCTCCTCCTCCTCCACCCTCCTCCTTCCTCCTTCCTCCTTCCTCATTATTCTATTCCTTCCTCTGTCTCCTTCCTCCTCCTCCTCCTCCTCCTCCTCCTCCTCCTCCTCCTCCTTCCTCCTTCCTTCTTCCTCCTCCTTCTTCCTTCCTCCTTCCTCCGTCCTCCGTCCTCCACCCTTCCTCCGTCCTCGAACCTTCATCCGTCATTCATCCTCCTTCCTCCTTCCGCCTTCCTCCTTCCCCCTTCTCGCTTTCTCCTTCCTCCGTCCTCATGCCTCCTTCCTCCTTCCTCCGTCCTCCTTCCTCCTTCCGCCTCCTCCTCCTCCTCCGCCGCCCTCGTCCTCGCCCTCCTCCTCCTCCTCCTCCTCCTCCTCCTCCGCCTCCTCCTATTCCTCACCTCCTCCTCCTCCTCCTCCTCCTCCTCCAGATTAGGCGAAGTTTCCGAGTAAGGACATACCAGCACCGATGCTGAATTAGATCTCCCAGGAGTTGCACCCCAAGGAGGATGATAACGACGAGGTGATAGAGGAGGGGGAGATAATGCATCGGCGCGCACTACCCTGCCTCTCAACTCGCTATAGGGTAGCCGGAGCGACGGAAACCGCACGTGTGCCAGCATGTGATCGGCGTTCGCTGTGCACTCCGTCATGACTCCCTCCACCTCCGTGAACTCCTGCCGAGACCTCCCACAAAACATCGGGACATGTAAAAGAACAAACTACTGACTCTTCCTCGTCCTCTTCCTCCTCCTCTTTCTCTTCCTCCTCCTTCTCCTCTCCCTCCTCCAACTTCCCCACCTGCTCTCCCAAAGCTTCAAGGAATGTTGAACTCGCCAATACCTCCCCAAAGACCCAAAAGCCGCCGAGAACCCCCTAAACTCGCATAGGGCCCCAGAAACATCCCTCCTCATCCTCCTGCGCCGCCTCCTTCTCATCTGTGCTCACTCGAAAACTTCTATACGTTTTCATACAATTGCCCCTCTCCGAACCGCTCTGCTTTGGTCGTCGGTACCCAGGACCCCCTTGTACACATCAATCAGAATAGGCAAATTTCCGAGCTAAGGTGCGTGTGCACCAGGATGCCACGGACGAGTGTGCCGAAGACAATGAGCGCATGTGCACCATAGAAGATAAGTTGAAAAACACGGCTTCGCAGTGGACCTCGCGCGCACCCCCAGCCGTTCCAACTAGCGAACTAGGGAGCAGGTCCCCAAACTCACGCTGATCTCCTGATCTGTCTGTAAGGTCAACGTTTTCTTATTCGGCGATTCGGCATTGGACGGAAGGGGGAGGAGGGGGGGGTCCGGCTCCGGACCTCTGCTGAGTACGGCTGTGTGCAGCAGTGCGTCCCATATTGGGAGACTCCACCTGCCTGAAACAGGCGCCCAGAAACAGCCAAGGTCTACTCCACGGCGGGTGGGGGGGAGAGGGGGGTGCGAGGGCACGCGCCGATCGGCAAAACAACGAATCAGAAAACGATCACAAGTGTTGGCAGCGGCGTTGCTCCCACTCTGGCCGCGGCTGTCGCCGTATGGTTGCGAACTTGTGGTGGAGGCCGCCCGAGGGCGGAGCCTCAGGGCCCAGGTATGCCAGGCCCGCTGGACGAACGGGAGTGGCAATCCAGACGTCCAGACAATGACATTCCCCAATCAGAGCTTGCCCCCGCAGGGGCCCTAGCGGATCCGTATGGTTAGGTCAGGCTTGCCGCCGACTTTCGCCGCACGCCCGGGTGCCCGGGCGCCCGGGGGTGCCCGGGTGCCCGGAGGTGCCCGGCGCCCGGAGGTGCCCCGGGGTGCCCGGAGGTGCCTGGGGGTGCCCGGAGGTGCCCCGGGGTGCCCGGGTGCCCCGGGGTGCCCGGGTGCTCTATCGCCCTCTAGCCCTATAGCTGTATAGCCCTATATCACTATAGACTCATAGACCTATAGCCCTATAGCCCTATAGCCCTATAGCCCTAATAGCCCTATCGCCCTCTGGCCCTATAGTCCTTATGCCCTATAGCCCAATCGCCCTATAGCCCTATAACCCTATAGCCCTTATAGGCCTATAGCCCTATAGCCTTATTGCCTTGTAGCCCTACAGTCCTATGTTGCTATAGCCCTATAGCCCTGTAGTCATATAGCCCGATGGTCCTGCTTCCGTGGCTTCCGCTGCTGTTTTTTTGGGGGGGCACCAGATGAGCTTGCCAAGAGAAACGACCAAACGCGGACACCACCTCGCACGCCCGGCAAACCTGGGGCTCCGGCCGGATTGCACCGGTGCAGTCGCGAGGACTTTCAATTGCACACGCTGCACGAGAGGGCCGAACGCCACCGCACACGTCCCGCACGACAAGAGAGGGGGCGAGGAGGAGGAGGAGGAGGAGGAGGAGAAGGAGGAGGAGGAAGGACAAGGAGACGGAAGACGACGACCATCGCCCAACAAACAGGGGGCGACGCTAGAACGTACAGGAGAGAATGGCAATTGCTGCGAGCTGCCGAGAAGTATACATGCTCCGGGGGGGGGGGGGGGCGGGGGAAACAAGATACAGGTATCGCTACTCCACGAACCTCTGCTGGGGCGCGTTCTGCCAGAATTTCGATGCAAATGCAACGGTGGAGACGAGGGCCCTCCAAGACGAGCAAGGGTATCGTTATATGTTGTAGTTTCCTCCTCTGACTGCTGGTGGAGAGCGTTCCAGGTGAAGCCTCCGTGACGTTGCTGTCGCAATCGAGCCCAATCAACACGCTGTGCGCGTGGGCTGTGCAAACAGCCGACCCCGAAGTGATGGGCTCCTCTGATATCAAGGCGCCCTCAGCAAGCCTGGTCTGGCCTTGCTTTAGGTCGGGCATGTCCTCCGACAGGCGGATTTCCGACGAAACATTACAAAGCAGTCGAAACATATTCGAAAATGATCAAAATGGTAGAAATCGTTCCCAGATCATGTTTTGACTATTTTGGAATTTCCCTCCTGTAGAGGGACATGCCCGACGTACGCCTGGCTGCGATAGTGAGTTTGGCTGCCACGGGGCGACTGGTGATTTTCACCAACTCATGCGCCCAGGGAGAAACAAAGCCCACCGCCACCGAGAATCGATTGAGGGGGGCAGGACTCCTCTTCCTCCTCCTCCTCCTCCTCCGCCTCCGCCTCCGCCTCCGCCTCCGCCTCCGCCTCCGCCTCCGCCTCCTCCTCCTCCTCCTCCTCCTCCTCAGCGCGGACGGGGGCGACCTCGGGACGGTGGCACGCCCGAGCGTCACTCAGTGAAACAACGCGCTCAGGCGTGCCATCGCCCAGCGGTCCCCCCATACATGTTCTCGGCAGCAGTGGTTCATACTATTCCTCCGACCGCGAGCGAAAAACCCACGAAACGACGGCGTCAGTGCGGCGGCAACGGAACTTCAAATCATCATTCATTGCGGCGCCGCGCTGCCAACACAAGGAGGCAGCGTTGCAAAGCATTCGCGATCCCGCTGCCTGGCGAAACTTTGTTGCTGATGTTGTCTCGACTCCTCCCCCTCCTACCACGCATGATATACATTAAGTCACCGCCGGCATGCCGGCTCTCCCGCAAAGCGGCGAGGCCAAGCTGGCAGCGCCTTCTTTCGCCCGCGCGCTCCTGCGTATGGCACGAGTGAGTGAGTGACTGAATGACTGAACGGTCGTTCATTACGCTATCACCCGATCCAGTTTGGGGGGGCTCTCTGCGCGCACACTGGCGGCCCACAGGCCTTCTGGCCGCGAAGGTGCGCCATCACTCCCGAAGGCAAGTGCATTCACAATCGCGCCTGTCTGCTTCAAGTTGCCCGCCGATGTACATAAAAATGTTCTTGCTGCTTCTATTCCCCCCTATGGACTGGCTCCGAAACCCGCCCTCCCACACATCCGACGGATTGATTTGTTGAATCCGCAGACCCCGGAAGTGTCGACCAACTCTCCACGGGCAAATTTGGGTAATTTGGATCCCCTGTCCATAACTGGATTGGATTGTCCAGGGGGCGACCCGCAAAAGGGCCCGGAGGCCAAAACCTAGGAAACACAAATCGCGGAGTGGGAGGTCTGGGCTTGGAGACCCTCCGACGCCACACACACACACACACACATACGCACAGGTTGGCGTTGCGACCCCACGCGCGGCAACGGGGTGTAGAAAGTAGAGCGCAGGCATTGAAACGCGCGCGTCTGCGCACGGCCGAACTCTCAAAGATCCGTTAGGGTCTCGCAGCCAGCAGCAGCCATAATCATCCGGGACTGGATGGCGGGGAGGGGGGATGAGTAGACGAAACTACTGTGAGGGTGGATGGCATAAGCGAACTGGGACTGGAAGTCGGGGAGAGCGAAAGAGCAAGTGCAGACCGACAATGAAACGCACACACACACATGCACACACACACACACACACACACGCGCACACACACACACACACTGATTTGTTCGGGCGTAGCAGCCGCGCGCGCAGCAGGCAGGCGGGGCAAGAGAAACAACTGCACACAGACACGCACACAACCCTGACCCCCGTGGCGCCTTCGTTAGCAGCGTGATCGCCCCCGCCACGCTGAGGGTCGCATAGACGAGTGGATGGCGCGCCTTGCGAAGGAGGAGGAGGAGGAGGAGGAGGAGGAGGAGGAGGAAGAGCAGGAGGAGGATGAGGAGGAGCAGGAGACGGTCTGATCTGGCACTCAGCACATGGTCTCTGCACCACTTCATCGGAATGGTCGCTCGACCGCTGTGTGCTAGTAGAATAAATCCACATGCAGGAGGTGTGATAAATTCGCCCCCCCGCCCCCCGCCCCCGGCGATGGGTTGATTATCCAATCTGTCGAAACTGGGGGCACCTACGATCGGCAACGCTTGCCCAGCGTATGGCCGCCGCGGCCCCGGCGACGCGATATGCCCCGCGAGTCCCCAAGAAAGAGGAGGGGGAGGAGGAGGAGGAGGAGGAGGAGGCGGAGGAAGAGGAGCAGAAGGACCATGCTCGGATCGCCAGGCCTGCTCCGCGGGCCATGCGGGCGCCTGCCCTGTTCGCTGCTGGCGCCACCGGCGCCGGCGCCAGCGCTCTTCGCCGCGCCCGTCGCCGTACCCCGTGGAGCCAAGACCCCCTCGAGTCGTGGAAAAAACAAGGCGTCAAATGTTTCGCTATGTTCGGCCTCTGGGGGCCCTTGCCCGGCCTCGGGACCGTGGCAAAAACTACCCAGGATGAGAAACTGGTCCTGGAGAGTAGGTCGAGACCTCTTTGGGTCGACGTTATGGGAAAAAACATGGCGTCGGGGGTCTGATAGGTGGGCCCTGAGGCCGTCTCTCGGAGGAAGAGTTTGTCCGCCACTCTCTGCCGTCTCCGTCCGGAGGTCCAGCGCAAAAGCATCAGTCATCCCATGCAGGGATGCTGTGGAGCGATCGCCGCGTGCACGTGCCTTCAGGCTTGCCATAGCATTGTGCGCAGTATGGTGCCATGCCTCACGCACTTGCGGCGCCACCGCTCGCATACCGTTGCCAATTTCACTCGAGCCATGACGAGCCCCAGCGGGGGGCGAAACGCTGACAAGCGGCCTGAAAAAGGAACGGGCTGGAAAGCATCATACGAGTCAGGCTCGGCGATTTCGAGGGGTGTGGTTTGCACAGGGTGTGGATAGCAACCAGCACCCTGGGAGCACCCTGGGGGGCGAGCGACGACCTCGACGGAGACCCCCGCTGCGCCGCAAACCACCCCCCGGCGTAACCCAACCCTTTGCACTGAGTCGCCGACAGGTGACACGGAGGAGGAGGAGGAGGAGGAGGAGGAGGAGGAGGAGGAGAGGGAGGGGAGGAGGAGGAGGAGGATAAGATAAGACGAAGGCGGGAAGCGTCCGAGATACCACCCGCAAGGATTAAAACGAAACGAACTAAACCTGCTCCTCCTCTTCCTCCTCGGCCTCCCCCCACGGGCGGCCTCCTGCTCCCAGCGCGGGAGCGAGGCGCCTGTGAGGCCGAAGCGGGCGAGGAGCGGCCCGCGCCCTATCGCCACCTGCCAGGGCGGCCCCCTGGGGAAGACGGCCCTGCTGGCGGGGAGGGCCGAACGCACCTGGGGGCGGTCGAGGATCGCTCGAGCAAGGCCCAAGAGGTCTCCAGGGGCGGGGCGCTCGAGGACACTCACACTCCAGCCCTCATGACGGGTCAACCACCGCGGGAACAGACCAGCGAGCAACCTTGAGCGCTGCTGTTTCAGACCTGACCCAGCGTTGTGCCCGCGGCACACACACAGTCACTGAGCCCGAAGACACCGCCCCACGCACGAGCTCCACACGACACACAGCAGATCAGACGTGGGGCGGTCACCACAGAAACGCCAGCACTACCACTACATACTCTCAAGTTATGCTGAGACAGCCTCATCAGAATAGGCGAGCTCGGGATCACAGGGCCCTGAAGCAGCCACGGCTGAGAGCACGGCACGGAAACACACGGAGACGGGGGACATAGGGCGCTCTCGAGGACCCGCACGCCTTGACCGAGCCATGTGGCCCTTGTCAGGCAGGCCTTCAGAGCCCTCCCATCCCCGCTCTTTCATCAGAACCCCCTGCCGCCCAGCCCACTGGCCCAACTCCCGCCCCAGAAACTTGAGACCTGCGACTTCTCGAGCAGCCTGCTCCACGGACGGGTGCATGCCCTCTCCCCTCTTGGCGAGGGCGTCGGCAACGGCGTTAGCCTTACGCTCACACCGAGTGGTGCGCCCTCTGGCGACGTCGGCCTCCGAAAAATGGGCTTTCGTCTGGTGAACCTGCAGGCCATCCTCGAAGGGCGCGTGCACCGAAGTCCACATGTGAGCCTGGGCGCACCGAGAACTCGCGGAGCGAACTCTGGACTGCGAAGCGGAAATGGTCGCCGCACAGTCCGTCCAAACACCCTCGGGGGCAAAAGCGATCTGGCCGAGCATTAAGAACGCATAGTCCTCGCCGTCTTTGGCGAGCTGGAGGGGGGCGACATCCCAGGGGACGGGGCCGAAAGCTCCGGCCGGCATCTCACCAGAGTCATCGACCGAGATCACCGCCCACCCCGCTCGCCTTAGGAGCGGGTCCGAGTGAACAAATCGCAGAAACATCCGTAGAAAAGTTTACCAGGCAGAAGGCCACCCTCTGGCTTCCGAGCCCAGGAAACGTGGCAGCTTTGAGACCCCAAGGGCAGGGGGGCCAACTCCCTGGGAGACGGAAGCAGCCCTGAAGCAAAAATCTCTCCTGAGTCGCTGAACTCCCGAATCAGCTTGGCGGCAGCTAACGCACCATCAGACAGGTAATGAGCACGATCTGACGCCCATGCACCACAGAGAAACCCACGATTGAACATGGTCCCTGGGCCACCTTGGCAAACCCTGCAGAGGTTGCACGACGCGAGCCCATGCCTATACAGCCGATCTCGCGGCCAGTGGGCCCCCGAGACCGAAGCCCTGAGGGCATTGACATGCGATTTAGTCCAGGGGCCCGTGCGCCTGGACAAGAGTTGATCCGGCGGCTGCCAGAAGACAGGACGACACAATGACGCCGAACCGACGCGAGCCTCGAGGGCACGAAAATCCGACATCTCCCTGGCAGCCTGCTGGGCGAGTGAGGCGACAGCCGTTGGCGACAGCCTGAGCAGGTCAATATGCCCACCAGTTGCCAGGGCTACGCGGCGTGCTGGTCTCGCTTCCCCCCCCCCCCCAGCTCTCCACAAGCAAGCGCGAACATGTGGGCAGGCGACGTCGCTCTGGACCACGGGCGGCTGGTGGAGGAAGCGATCGCACTGCATCCTCAAAGACAGCCTTAAGGATAGCTATGCTAGGAGGTCCATCCCAAACAGCACGAAACCACTCAAAAACTACCTGCTTGAAGTAAAGGGGAACGGTGTCCATGGCTTTACCCTGCTTGAAAGCGCAGAGCTTTAAACCGACCGAGGCCCCTTTCTTCGCAGGCGCCACAGACAGAAGGGCCCGAGACCGGATCCTTTTTCAACTGCGCCCACGGAAGACCCCTGACCGAAGCCCCCCACAACGCAGAAGCCTGAGGACCCGCTCTCTGGATGTGCCCCACGAAGGTCCCAGCTCTCCTCAGGGCTCTGAAACGCCTAGACCTGCGCACGCAAGTCCGAACCCGAAAGGAGGCTATGGGGGCAAGCCTGGTAGAACCCACCCGCAAGTCAGTCCCAAGACTCCGAATCACCGCTTTCCTCTGGAAAGAGGCCGTCCAAGCACTAGCAAATCCCTGCGCAAACCCTTGCGACGAGGCGAGGATCTTCGATTTTTTCTCCGAGACGACAAGATGCAGGCGCTGCGAGCCAGCGATGATATGGCCCCCCACGCTTGCGAGCTGCCTGACGACGTGGGGGCTGGTGCCGACCACCTGCACGCTGATGTTGTCGATCACGTTCCTCACCATCACCGACGGGTGCTCTCTCTCCACCGTGGTCAGCAGACGGTAGAGCAGCACGCGCGCGAGGCTGGTCGCGAGGGAGCAGCCCGCGACCACCGTGCCCGAGGCGTGGAACACCTGGAAGACGCATCCCATGAAGCTCACCGCTCGTGGCCCCGAGTAGAGCGAACAGGCCGCCCTGCAGAGCCTGGTCGAGAACTTCACGGCCTCCGCCTCCGCGAACAAAACCGCATGTGCAATGCGCTCGTAAAACTTGTCTAGGTCCGTGGCCAAGGTGCCTGACTGCACGCCCTTTGCTCTGGCATAGTGAGCCATGGTCTGGTGTACCCAGCCTGATCTGTCGCACTCTCGGTCACGGGCTCCCCAAATGACTCCAGCCGCATGCTCGTCTCCCCACGCCTTGGCCATGTCCCTCCTGATCTTGCCCCGCAGTCTGAGGATGGAGCAGATGAGGGCGATCGGCCTGGCACCCGAGCCGTCGGGCTTGCCGATTAAGACCATGAGCGTAGGCCACCTGGCCGAAAGGTGGGGGTCTGCTTCCCACACCAGCATCAGGTCAACCAGCCTCTCCATGAAGCCGTCGTCGAGGAGATCGAAGGTGCGCAGATTCACGCGATCGACCCCCGAGCCGACCTGGCGCGAGAAAGAGCGGCAGGCCGCGCGAACCCGCTCCAAGGTCGGCCTCTCCAGCAACTCCTGATCAGCAACCGCACCTTGTATATGGGTGATGCTCTCCTTGGCGCCCCCCCCCCAGTATTGCAGCCACTCGTCGTGCGTCGCCTGCGCTGCCGCGTCTCCCTGGAGCGGCCAGCCCTCTGGGGCAGTGGGGCCCCGCACCTGAGGGTGATCCTTCAAGAATCGGCGCGCTCGGCGGCCGCCTGACTTGACGCCAGACTGAGCCCGCTCGCGCCACTCCTGCAGCTGCTGCTTGGCCGCCGCCCGGGGCGCCTCCAGCGCTGCATTGTGCACGTTGGAGGCAAGCATCTCCAGGTCATGTCCTCCAGCTACCGCCGTGGTTCGCAGCTCGTGCAGGTCGAACTCGATCGACTCTACACCTGTGAGCTCCGAGAGGTCGAGGTGGTCCAGCTCGTCCAGCAGAGCCTGACGAGTGTCGGCGGCTCTCCAACGCCTGCGTACTGCAGCGGCCCGTGGCTGCGGCGACGTGGCGTGCGCAACTTCACTGTCCGCAGGCTCCGGACGAGGCGCGTCGGCCGTGGTGGACTCAGAGAGCGATGGCCAGGCTGCGCTCGACAACGGTGGCGGCCCCGTGCTCGGCGACGCGTAGTCAGGCAGCACGAAACCCAAGGACGTGAGTGAGACCTCCTGCTCCACTGCCGCCTGGCCCCTGTCGTCTTGGGCGTGGCCCCGGAGACCGCGGAATCTGGACAAGATGGCGTCGAGTGCTCTCCAGGCTCGCATCTGGCCTCCGCTGCCAGACATGGCAGCCTCCTCCATGGACGTGGCCAGCAGCACCTGCTTCCGCTCGAGGCCGTCAGCCCTGCGCGTGTAGCCCCGCTGCCCAGCCCCCATCAGGTCGAACTGGTTGCAGAGCTCTTGCTCCATGTTGAGGAGCCATTGGCACCAGGCATCTTCCAACACCACGCCCCCTGTGTCTCCAGCAGGCCAAAACCAGGCATGTTCGGCACGCTCACGGAGTGGGCCTATCCGCAAGACTGCGGGGAACGGTTTCCGTGCCCCGCGGGCGTGAATCGGGGCCTTGGGCGCGGGCCCCTTGAGCTGCAGCGAAACGGCGACGTGCGGTGACGAAGGCGCGCCGTAGATCGCTCTGACATCACTGACAAAGTTGGCCAGGCCCTGGCTAACCACGATGTAGTCTATGGTGGAGCCATCCTTGGAGGAGAAACAGGTTGGCCCCGACGGGGCCACAATCGTCCCTTTGAGCAGCTCAACCCACTTACACAGCTGCACATCATCAGGCGCCAGGTTCAAATCCCCAGCCAGAACCCACGGAGACCTCGAGCGACGCAGGAAGACCCCGAGCTGTTCTAGCATCTCCCAGGGGAAGCACCTGTCTCTGGCGTCGACGAAGCCGTAGACCGAGGCCAACAGGAGCCCACGATGAAAAGCCATGTTGTCTCGGATGACCTTGACCCTGGCGTAGTCCCTGACCTCAGAGTGGCGCGAACCAAGCCCAGCAAAGGCAATGTGCGACGATGTCGCGGTCAGTACGCCACCCGAACTCTCAGTGGCCTGCCCACCTGTGGGTCGAGCCCGTCCAAAAGCTCCGTGCTACCCTCTAGCTCCGAGCCAGCCAGCAGCACTGCGAACTTTGTCCAGGCCCTTGATGCGATGCTCCTGGGCGAAGCAGACATGAGGCCGAGCCTGGGCACCCCAACTTCTCTGCCAGTCTAGCGCACTCTGCCGGGAGCTCCAGGCGTTGGCGCTGGGCGACCCGAGGCGCCACACTTGCTGCTCACGTGGTGCCCGTCGCATCTGCGCTCGTGGTGCTCGAGACCCAGCCCGCGACGGCTGCTCGCAATCAACTCGTGATGGGGCCAGGCTCGAGGAGCACCTGACCCCGGCGCTCTGACCGCTTTGCTCCTCGCGCGAAGGCCCAAGTACAACTTCAGCAGACTGCTCGCAATCTACTCTGATGAGGCCAGGCTCGAGGAGAACCTGGCCTCGCGCCCTCACATCGTTTTTCTCACTGGGCGCAGCAGAAGGTTTGGGCGAGAGGGCCTCCGCTGACTGCGAAGGCCGATCGCAGTTTACTCCAGAGGCCGCCAGGCTCGAGGATCGCCTGACGGCCGCGCTCTGACGGCCAGTGGAAGACGCCACAGCCTGCTCGCAATCTACTCGTGAGGCCGCCAGGCTCGAGGAGCACCCGACGACCGCGTTCTGACGCCGAAGTCCCAGCACGGGTGGAAATCGAAGCAGACAAGCCAGCCGCAGACAATCCTCTGGTCGAAATCCTCGTGCGGGGCCCCGTAGGCGAGGAGGGCTTCGCCGATCCCGTCGTGGCAATCGACCTCCGCTCTGCTGCGTGCGAGACCCCGCTGATGCCACAAGACTCCAAGGGAGCCCTAGCCGCAGAGGCTGGTGCAGCCAGGGGTCTCTCGCCCACAGTGAGTCTCGGAGCATGCGGCTCGCTGCGCTGCCCCTCCAGCGAGCCCCCGCGCGGCGGGGGCTCCGCTTTCTCAGGGGACGAGCGCGCGTCACCTGAAGACCTGGCCCCGGCCACGACCCACGCGAAGCCGTAGTCCCTGCGCCGTCGCCCTCTTCGAGGGTCCTCTTGACCCGAGGGGCGGCGCCATCGAGAGCTCAGCGCTCTGCATCCGTGCCGAAGCTCTTCTCTGGTCGGGCCGCAGGCACAGAAAAGCCCAAGTCGGGCCACTCGAGGTCGATCACGTTCTGCTGCCAGAAGAGGAGGTCCATTGGGATGGCGGGGCTACCCCAGCTTGGGCCTCTCGGCGAGCGATCCGAGCTCTCCAGCAAACGGTTGAATTTGCCGTCATCATCCGATCCGACCTCAAACCCCGCGGCGACGAAGGCCTCACGCAGCTCCTCGTCTCCTGGGTCGAACTGTGGAGTCCCAGGGGCCGCAGGGGCTGCTGCGGCAGGTCCGCCAGAGCCACCAGGAGCCCCAGCAGGCCCAGGAGGGCCCCCCGCGGCAGGAGGCTCCGCGTCCATGGGCTTGGGGATCTGGGACACGAGCTCCGCCCGCTTGGCGGCGGCCTGCGCGAGGATGGTGTCTGCTTGGAAGCCGAATCTGCCCCCGTACTTGCGCAGGCACTGCTCCATGATGTCCAGCATGGCCAGCTCGTGGGAAGGGTCCACGGCGGTGCCCTCAGCTGGGGCCTCAGGCAAGACACTCTTTGACTGAGCATGCTTGATGTGGGTCTCCAGCTCCGCCAAACTCTCGCGATGCTTGGCCAGCTGGTCATTCTCCGAGTCGAAGGCTGCGCGCTTGCTCCAGGGCAACCCTGGCAGCCTCCACGCGGTTCTGGGAGCCCTCGATCTGCTTGATCTTCCGTTGCTTGCGCTGCAGAAGGTCCTGAAGGCTCTTAGACCCCAGGTCCACAGGCTGCACCTCCTCCGCCTTCTTGAGCATCGACTGCAGATCCGCGGAGAGCTGGCTGCCCTTGGCCACGCCCTTCGCCTGCAGCAACTCCACCAGCTGAGTGACTGAGAGCGCGCAGGGGTCGGCGGCAGGTGCCCCTCCCCTGCTTCCGAGCTCCGGCGGGCCCTGGAGCCAGCGGTTGGGGCCTGACTTGGCCGCTCTGCATCTGCTGCGTTTGCTTCTTTTCAGCCTGCAGAGTGGCTGCAGGCGCGCGGTCTCCACATCCACGGCACTGCGACCTGAAGTGGAAGTTGAGGAAACCGCATCCACGACAATCCCAAGATTTCTTCTGAGTCCGCCACGGCGCGTCATCTTTGGTCATGAAGATTGGCTTCGACCAGCTGCGCCACTCCACTTCCGAGTGCGCTGGTCGACAGGTCGTTGAAAGCAGAAAGCTCAAAACCTGGAAATGGCTGGAGGAGGAGGAGGAGGAAGAGGAGGAGGAGGAGGAGGAGGAGGGGGAGGAGGTGGAGGAGAGGAGGGAGGAGGAGGAGGAGGAGGGAGGAGGGAGGAGGAGGAGGAGGAGGGAGGAGGAGGAGGAGGAGGGAGGAGGAGGAGGAGGGAGGAGGAGGAGGAGGAGGAGGGAGAGGAGGAGGAGGAGGAGGAGGAGGAGGAGAGGAGGAGCAGGAGAGGGAGGAGAAGGAAGAGGAGGAGGAGTCCAATCGATCGCAGTGCTGGACACGCTGCTCGCCTCTCACGTGCACGTGCCGCCTCGGCGCACGGGGTCCGGATCTCGAGTCGGCTCGGCTACGCCGGGAGGCACGGCAGCGCGTTGCGAGCCTCGGGCCGCAGCGCATCGCCAGACTGCTGGAGTCGCATCGGCTCGGCCAGAGCCGATACCGCATCGGATCCTGCAGGGTGAGTGTGCCCTGCGGCTGCGCCCCTGTCTCGGGGAGAAGGCGCAGCGACCGAAGAGCTCCGGCGGCACCCCCGTGTCGCGGAGGCGGGGCGCGGTGGAGACGCTGCTGTCGTCACGGGCCGTTGCGCCTGCGGACTACCTCCTCCGCCCTGTCCCCCCCAGCTGGTCGTCGTCGTTGCCCGTTTACCGACCCGCTTCTTTGGTGCACGCTCTGTGTCTGACAGAACGTTCCCATTCCCCCCCCCCACCCACCCCTCAGGAGGAGGAAGAGGGGGCAGCGCGAGCAGGAGCGGGGGGGGGGCGAAGACGATGACAAGGAGGAATTCACTGTCGTTGTCGTCGTCGCCTCCAGGGAAAGGACGGGAGAGAAGGGCGAGAGGAGAAGGAGGAGGAGGAGGAGGAGGAGGAGGAGGAGGAGGGAGGGAGGGAGGGAGGGAGGGAGGGAGGAGGAGGAGGAGGAAGAGGAAGAGGAGGACGAGGGGACGATACGCCTCGTGAAGAAGGAGACCGGCGCAGAGCACGAACGGCAGGAGCAAGGAACAGGCGGCCATGGTCAAGCGGGATCACATTGTGCCACTCCCGTTGGCGAACGAGGGGGGAATCATGCGCTTAGTTGTCCACAGACTGGACTAGAGGCCTCCTATCGGCGATGCATCGGCGACGTCGGCGACGCATCGGCGCCGTCGGCGTGGAGAAAATCGGGCTCCACATCGAGCCGCATCGGCGATGCATTGGCGATGCATCGGCGATGCGGCGCGATCCTCCGACCCCATCTACTCGGACCGTAGGAGGCCTAGATGGACATAAGCTCAACATGCTCACACGTTTCTAAATGTTCTGGAGAGTTCCCCGCGAACGCGCCACAATCACACCAACCCGTTGGGCGACAGGTGGTCGAAGGAGGGTCTCTTTCCTCTTCCACAACCCATTCTTCCCCTTCGGGGAGGGGTTTGCACCTCCTGCTACCCCCTCCCCTAGACCTGGACGGGGGGGTCGCGACGAGTTAGAGGGTGATTGTTCGGCCCCTGGGAGGGCCAATGCTTGACACCCCTCACGAGGATCGTGGCCCCCGAGCCCCCTCTTTTGATCGATAACCTCCCAAGGTGGCCCCGAAAGGTACTCCAGGGCTCCCAAGAGGCTCCAAATAGGGCCCAAAGAGCGCCCCAAGAAGCCCCAAGAGGCCTCCAAGAGACACCCGAGAGGCCCCCAAGAGGCCCCCGAGCGGCCTCGGAGAGCCCAAGATGACCTCCAATATGGTTCAGATAGCCCAAGCTGGCTCAAGATGGCTCCCAAAATGCTCCAAACTGCCCCAAGACCGCTCCAAGACGGCTCGAGATGGCCACGGAGCCTCCCAAGCCTCCCTCGCTGTTTGACTATGCGTGTCTCTTCCTCTTTCCCCCCGTCAGCTGTCATAAGCATCATTTCTTGATGGGCTGGTGGGGATACTTTTTGGTCGCGAGCGCAAACAGAACAGCCGCGCGCCGTCAGAACGAAGCAACACTGCAACGGCCTAAATTACGCACCAGTCTGGTGGGGATATGCTTTTTTGGTCAGCGGCCGTAGGCGAGCATGCCAGCGGCGAGTCCAGTAGAAGCGGGGCACGCGACCACAAATTAGCCTAAAGCGACGGGGCGCAGCCACACCTACAGTCTGGTTGGGATATGCGAAGCGTCAAGAATTTGATATTTACGGCATCGGCTCCCCGAAATTGCCCTGGATCAGTGCGTCACGCCTTCCGCCGTCCCTACCCCTCTTCACAGCAGTACAATGTAGGCCCGTCCACAAGGAACCTTCCACAAGAAACCCAACCCTGAGACCCCACGACGTCCATGGATTTTTGGTGAGGGAACGTCGCGCTCTCCACCGCAACACAATCGAAACCCAGGAAACCCAGGGTACTTTGGAGGCAAGCAGGGTGTTTCTTGGCATGGGTCTCCACTGTAGCGCACTTCCTCTCAGCATCGCCTCGAGGCCAGGAAGCGACGCACGACTCCAGGCCTGCTCACTGCAGCTGGGGGCACGGGAGGACCTCCGGCGACGGGCACCGAGCCCCCTCGGCTCGAGATGGGCGCACGTCGTGGAGATCTCTCGGCAAGTGGGAGGCCTCTGGAATCACCGTTTCCTCACCCCGTTCCCCTCCTCTTCCCCGTCCTTCCCCCTTGCCCTCCTCCTCGCCCTCCTCGCCCTCCTCGCCCTCCTCGCCCTCCTCCCCTCCTCCTCCCCCTCCCCTTCCCCCTCCCTCCCCCTTCCTGTTCCCCTCCTCGCCCTCCTCCCCCTCCCCGGGGAAAGGGCGGGGCGCCGCCTGGAGCCGGTAGCTGAGCACGCGCCCGCAGAGGCCCCCCAGCATGTCCGCCAGCCCGCTCCAGGGGGCGGGCCCAGGGCGCGAACGGCGGAGCGAGGGGCGAGGAGGGCCATCAGAGGAGACGCCTCCAAGAGGGCCCCTCCTCCTCCTCCTCCTCCTCCTCCTCCTCCTCCTCTTCCTCCTCCTCCTCCTCATCCTCCTCCTCCTCCCCGTCCTCCTCCTCCTCCTCCTCCTCCTTTGCTCTATGATGTACCCCCGCCCCCTGGAAGTTCCTGGTCTGCGTGGGGGGGAGGGGCTGGCCAGGCCGTGCCAGCCGCGGAGCGGCGCAGATAGAAGACGTTGTACATCGCAAAGAAGGTGTGCGTCGGGAGCGAAACTCCTGCGCGGAGGCAGATGCCAGAAGGAACGATGGGAGAAGAAGGTAAGATGAGGGAGGGGAGGAGGGGGTGGGACGGAGGAGCAGGGAGGAGGCGAAGTGAGGAGGGAAACGCGGGGGAGGAAAACGCGGGGGCAGGAGAGGACAGGACAGGAGGTCCGCATAAAAGGGGGTCAACGTCAACACGCCTAGATTGGCGCTTTGCGCGCGTCTGGCACAATCCCCTGCGATTTCGTTGTGCAATGGCCCTGGCTTCTCACTAAGGCTGACAGGAGGGCATACCCCGAAGCTACAAGGGGTGAGCTCCGAGGTGGCCCCGTCAGGGAGGCTCGCTACCTTGTGAATACGAAACCCTGCGGGTCAGTGCGGGGGGGAGCGGCTGTTGGTCCTTTCCGCGTGCCCTTGGAACGGGGGCGCGCGGGCCTAGCGGGGCTTCCAAGCTCGGGGGAAGAGACGACGACGCGACCCCGCAAAAAGGAAACGGGGAGGAGGATATGGAAGACGACGACGCGACCCCGCAAAAAGGAGACGGGGAGGAGGATATGGAGGCCCATGCTTCCCAAACTAATGTTGGGGGCCTACCTGTCCTACCGGCTTTACTAAATCCTACTATATCCCCCCTCTCGCTGGGCTCGCTTCTCTTCCAGAGCGAACTGGCCGATTGTTGTCCCATGCGTTGTCGTATCTGTACCCTGCTACCCTGCTGAAGCATCCCACTGTCCCGTCTCGACGTGCAGGTAGGAAGAGCATATCAATCCTCGCTCCTGCCGTGATGTGCCAGTCGGCACTCCAAAAGATCGCTTAAGGAACCTCGCGCCGATATGGCCCCGCTAGCGTAGGTCCCGCTGGGTCTGCCCGTCCTGCGTGCCTAGAGTACACTCCGAGATGACCTCGCTAATGCGCCTCTTGGCGTTGTCAGTGGGCTCCAGTGGGCTCTCTCACTGGTGGCCGCTGGAGCTGGCCGCCTCCTCCGACTTGGCGTGCTTCTCGGAGATCTCGGTCCGTCCAGCAGGGTCTTCGTGCTGCCTCGTCGCTCCTGGCGCTGTTTCAACCTTTTGCTGTACCTCCTCTAGGTCGAGGTTGTCTTCGTCATTCAACTCCTCCAAAGCGACCTCCATGACGCTGTAGAGGTTGCCCTCGTCATTCTTCGATACCGACAACGACAACTTACACCAGCTCTGCGACAGGAAGGCATTCCCCCCAGCCCTTTCCCACGCGTCCACTGGCTACCTTGCGATGGGATCGCATCCGTCGACCGTGTGCGTCATCGGGAAGGCCATTGGGATCAGCTCGACGAGCTCCTCTGGGCTCATCTTATGGGCGGCGTCGTAGAACTTGTACTGGTTCGCCTTGATGGCGTCGCCCAGCTGCTGCGGCAGCCTTTCCGCTACGAACGCTTCCCACTTCTCCCCCACATTGAGCTCCATCATCATTGAAGGCCCCCTCTTAAACGGGCGGAACATCGACTTTCACCCGATGTCTGGCCACATCTCGCTGTCCTTGCCGAAGTCGTCCTTCATTTTGTTCACCCACTCTTTCATGAGCTCGTGTTCTGGGTGGTTCTCCTGCGCTTTCACGAGCTGCGCCCGGCCCACTTTGCACCATAACTTTCACTGGGGACCCCTTGAGTTGGGGCTGGGCCTTTGCCACCACAGCTCGTTAGGAAAGGCAAATTCGCACGCGCAGGCTACGACGTTCTTTGTGTCCCATCCTGTGTTCCTCCTGCACACGTTGGACAGCTGCATGTTGTCGCTCCACTTGCCCACGAAGTCCAGCGCCTTGAGGTACGCTGTCCGTGTTTCCCCCCATGTTCTTCGCCGTCTTGTAGTCGCCCGCCTCGCGCAGCTCCTTTTCGTTTTCCTCCAACTCTTTTTGGGCGGCCTTCTGCGCTGCTTCGTCCTTGACGTCCATGGCCATGTACTTGTTCAGCAGAAAGCCGTATTCTTCGGCACATCTTAAGGCATCTGCTATGCCTTCCCCTGCTGTGCTGACGGCTGCGAAAGTGTCCCCATTCATTGTGATGCCCTCCAGCAATTCCTTTGATTGCGGGTCTTCTTTTTGTTAGTCCTTCCTCGATCTCAAGGAGCGCTTTCGCCGCCTGTACCTGCCCAAGGAACTGGGCTGCCCAAGCGGTGCCTTTTGTGCTTCTCTTCTGTTTTCTGCATATTTGCTCCCTCGAAATGTACTGCACTCCTCCATGTAGTATAGTTTCTTCGCTGCTCCAGTTGATCCACCTCCTCCTGCCTCAGCTCCAGCTCGCAGTCGAGGAGGAGGAAGACGACGACGACGAAATGGGAGCGGGAGGGAGATAACGAGGAGGAAACGGATGCCGGGAAGGAGCACCGAGAGCTCCAATGCTTAGGTACGGCGGTCGAACACGAATCGAAACGATCACTGCACTGTACGCTATCAACGAGCCCTTCTTCCTCCTCCTCTTCCTCCTCCTGTTCCTCTTCCTCCTCCTCCTCCTCTCCCTCCTCCTCCCCCTCCTCCTCCTCCTCCTCCTCCTCCTCCTCCTCTTTCCCCCTCCTCCGCCTCCTCCTCCTCCTTCCCGTCCTCCTTCTCTCCTCTCCTCCTCCTCCTCATCCCTCCTCCTCCTCCTCCCCCTCCTCCTCCTGCACTCGCTCCTCCCTCCTCTCTTGGCTCGCTCCTCCTCCCCTCCTCCTCCTTCTCCTCCTCCTCCGCCCCGCCATGCAGCAAGGGTGGGGCCACTGGGGCACTCTATCAGACAGGCGGTAGCACGGGCGTCAAGCTTGTCGCGCCGCCATCGCCTCCGCCCCCGAGAAGCGGGCGAAGCCAAGGTCGACAAGATCGGCGCGGAAGCAGCCTCCACCTGCCGCCTGTGGCCCCGATGGTCCGCACTGGCCGTGCACAGTGGCCGCGCGCTAACACTAGAAGCCTTGACGGAGCGACGGAACCCCTCCGACGGCCTTGCAGACAATCCGGAACTCCGCGAGAAGACTTGAGCCCTCCGAGACGCCACGAGCCAGGAGAGAAGACTAAGACTCCTCGACGTTTTTTTGTTCGATTCGCGGCCCGCAAGGAAAAGTCCAGAGGGCGGTAAGAACGAGGCTGGGACACAGCGCGCGGGAAGCAGATAATTAACGGCGCAGCACTGTGCCGGCCGAGAAGCAGCTGAGCGTGTGCCAGCAGCAAAAGTAACGCTGAACATCTGCCAGCGATCAAGCCACTAACCGGCCGCTGAACGTGCGCCAGCGAAGGGGGGGAGCAAAAAGGGTCGGACCCGCAGGTGGAGCCGGACTGCCAGGCGAAAGGTGCCAAACCCTCCTCGACGATACGCGCAGCACCACGCACGCTGTAGAAGTGCTAACCACAGCGTGGCCCCGGGACTCCGCCGGAACTCTCGAGAGCGCGGGGCCCTGGCCAGGAGTCAAGCGGGAAACGCCCCAGGGCCCTGTGCTGCTACTGCTTGCCAAGCCTGGAGCATCAAATGCGCCTGCAACATGTTCGATCTCTGTCCAACTTGGCACATGCTTCAAAACGGACTTCACTGCCACCTGGCCTCTGCGAGGTCAGCTTGCAGGTTCACTTCCGTGTCACGCGCTGACCCTCTGGCGGGCGAGACGACGAGGCGCGCCATCGAAGTGGGAGGCACTGTTACTGCAGTCGGCCCTCCTCCAGCCCAGTGGCCAGCAAGCAAGTGGCGAGCTCGCCTGCCTCGACTGCTGTTCGGCGGCGAGGGAGGGGCGGAAATGAGAAGGAAAAAGCCTTCTCAAAGGCGTCGGGACTTCTCAGAAGCCCTCGCGCCTTCTGAGAAATGTTCTGCGTCTTCGGGGAAGATTTAGAACACCTCTCAGAAGGCTGGTGGACTTCCAAACCTTCTGAGAAGGCCCACCCCTTCTCACTTCCCCCCCGGGCTCGCCGCCGAGCTGTGACCACTTGCACTACACACGCACCTGGGACCACAACAGTTCAGAACGGCCAAACGTGTTTAAATCGACAGAGGCCCCTTTTCGCTGTGGATGAGGCTCCTTGCTCCATCAAGACTCGTAGGGGCTCTTGGGCACCTCGTGGGGGCCTCGTGTAGCCTTAGGTCGGGCACGTCATCCTACAGGCGGATTTTGGACGAAACATTAAAAATAGTCCAACAATTCTCCCAAATAGTCTAAAATCGTACCCAAACTCTATGTTTCACGATTTCCGACTATTCCTCCTGTAGAGGGACGTGCCCGACTGAAGTGGAGCCTCTTGGGCACTCTTGGGAGCGTCTGATCCCGACCTTCCCGAATGCCTCTTCCATCGTGGGGGGCGTCGTCCAGGGCCGGCGGCACGGGCTTTCAGGCCCGAGCAACCGACAGAGACCGCGTCTCGCCTTGGAGCCCCTCATTGCCTCTCTTCCACGGGCTGCTGTGCAGCACCGCCTTGCCTGGCTCGCACGTTTTCCCAGCGGGTGGCCAGCCTGGCCCCCGACATCACCTTCTTTGCTGCCCTTGCGGCAACAGCACACCAAAAACATCCAAGCAGTCTACAGGAAAGCTCCGATGCCCCGATTCCCGAAGCCTGGCTGGCTGGACAAGCAGGACAGAAGAGCAGGCACCCATCAGCGGCTCCACAAACGAGGTCCCCCGCCTGCCTCGAAGCCACGCCGCGCACTGCCGATACTTGCCCACCCGGCTCCACTGGTGGGACGGCTGATCCTCCTGCTTCGTTTCCGCAGGACACTCGGTAACACGCTGGGCATCGGGACCCATGGCCAACTCAGGCAATAACACGAACAACGTAGCCCCAGGACTGCCCAACTCGCAATCCGAAGGCGAAAAATGCAAGGAGCCCGCTCCAATGACATCGACGTCGACCCACCCATTGCCTTGCCGCAGGGAATGGTGTCTTGCATCGATGGTAACCTCTGCGTCGAGATAAGCCTTGGCGTTGGAAACCTTGATGGACTCCCATCGCTCCCGCAAAAGCTGAACCATGCTGACTGCCTACCAAGCCACCCCAACCCAACCCGAAGACCCGAATTTCGGGTTGGGGGGGTAAGA